GTTCTAGGTTGCTTCTCTCCTTGATTAGTTTCCATCCTTTGCTTCTCGTTCTGCCTTCAGGCGCCTTGGAGAATAGCTTGACTCCCTCTTCTTTGGGGCAGCCCCTGAGATACTGGAACACTGCTGTCATGTCCCCCCTCGTCCTTCTCTTCATTAAACTAGACATACCCAATTCCAGCAACCATTCCTTGTATGTTTTAGCCTCCAGTCCCCTGATCATCTTTGTTGCTCTTCTCTGTTGTTGAATGCCACTGTATGGTCCTAGTTTGACGAGCTGGTGGAAGGTGTGCCACAGTCAAGAGTGGTGATTTTTTTTTCTTTGCCTCTCTTCTCTTCCTTTTTTCTTCTCTACTTCCTCCATCTTCTCTCTCTGTGCCCCTCTCCCTCTTTCATATCACTGGTGTTCCTGGAAACATTTTCCCAGGCGCTGCCAATATCGTCTCCCTCTGTTGCTGCAAAGTGGCTGGGAATGAATAATTTAGCTTCCTCAGGAAGAAGGACGTGTCCATCACCCTGGAAGGCTGAATTATTCATAGCAAGGGGAAAAAAACCAAAGCTAGTAAGTAATCCAATTGGGTATTTCACACTTTTTCTGGCAGTGCCCCAAATCAGATGTCTGTTCTGAAAGATCTAGGCCAGGCATAGGCAACCTTGGCTCTTTTATGACTCGTGGACTTCAACTCCCAGAATTCCTGAGCCAGCATGGGGGAACTATGGCCCTTTCATGACTTCTGGACTTCAACTCCCAGAATTCCTGAGCCAGCATGGGGGAATTATGGCCCCTTCATGACTCGTAGACCTCAACTCCCAGAATTCCTGAGTCAGCATGGCTCAGCTTGGAAACCTCTCCCTTTCCCCTCAGCATGGCTGGCTCAGGAATTCTGGGAGTTGAAGTCCACGAGTCATAAAAGAGCCAAAGTTGCCTACCCCTGATCTAGGCTGACCCAAAAGGAGAAATGGTCCAAGAAACACTCTGATTTTGGAATCTGGGGCGGGGGAGAGAGGAAGGGGAAAAGTCTCCTCAAAGTCCCCAGTTGCAACTTGTAGTACCTGCACTCTGCCAAGTTACCAGGTAGAGGAAATCCAGGGAGCAAAGGTAGACGTAGGCATGTTTTAACATTCCTGTTCTCCACGCAAGTATAAATAGTCGAAAAAGCTGTGTGCACGTCTTCATTTTGCAACGATCTATTCATTTCTATTCCTGCCTTAAATATATACCTAAATAATGATCACTTAATCATTGAAAATGGTTCAGAAAAGTCTTACCAGCAGATATCTCCCTCAGGATAATGTTTGAGCCTTCAGAATAATGGTTGCTGGAGATTGGCTCTTGTTTTTTCGCTCTCTCTCCCTTCATTTTTGGGATCTGAAGAAGTTTTAAGAGGAGTTCTATGAAAGGACTTTAAGGTGACTTAAATTTTAAATTCCAATCCCTAGAAAAACTGGTAGTTGGAAGACGTGGAGAGACCTGGCCTATAGAATCGCCAAGAGTCAGACATGACAGAATGGATAACATCGTCAACATCAGGGGTCTTCAAACTTGGCCCTTTTATGACTTGTGGACTTCAACTCCCAGAATTCCTTAGCCAGCATGCTTGGCTGAGGAATTCTGGAAGTTGAAGTCCACACGTCATAAAAGGGCCAAGTTTGAAGACCCCTGGTCAACATCATCATGTCTACTTTCAGAGGGATCCCCAATATAATGTGTAAAGCTTGACAAAATATTTGCATCTCTGGTTTAAAAGATGCTCCAGTCATTGCATGAAGTTAAGGGGGAAGACTTCCGCTTGGAAACTTGGGAAGTTGTTGAGAAGTCTTCCAAGAAATATGTATCTGTTTTTCAATCCCAACAGCTCACTGGGGAATTCTGGAAGTTGAAGTTCCATTCAGCTGAAAGTTGATGAGGTTGAGAAACACTGGTTATAAGATTTTGTGAAAATTTGTTCTGAAAGTTCCATAGAACATCTACAGAATAGCAATTATGCACTGTAAATAGAAATGTTGTAGCTTTTCCTGTTTTGCTGTTTTCCAGCAAGCATTTTAATAATATTGAGGCCTCTTGGAAGAATACTTGTAGCATGACGCTGGTGTTGTTTTGAAAAAAAAGGCAGCTTTGGCTTTACGATTAGAAGTGAATAATGCAGGAAATATGATGTGTGAGTTTTCTTCTCTTCAGTTGCCTTTGATCACATACATACCTTGCCAAAAATGAGAGGCTGAGCTGCTTTGTGATGCTTTCTCAATCAAGATCTGGGTTTACCTAACATGTTGTTAGTTGCGAAGTTGTGTCCGACCCATCGTGACTCCATGGACAATGTTCCTCCAGGTCTTCCTGTCCTCTACCATCTTCTGGAGTCTATTTAAGCTCACGCCTCCTGCTTCAGTGACTCCATCCAGCCACCTCATTCTCTGCCGTCCCCTTCTTCTATTGCCCTCCATCTTTCCCAGCATCAGACTCTTCTCCAGTGAGTCCTTCCTTCTCATTAGGTGGCCAAAGTACTTGAGTTTCAACTTCAGGATCTGGCCTTCTAAAGAGCAGTCGGGGTTGATCTCTTCTAGGACTGGCCGGTTTGATCACCTTGCAGTCCAGGGGACTCTCAGGAGTCTTCTCCAGCACCAGAGTTCAAAGGCCTCCATTCTTTGGTACTCAGATGCTTTAATTCTTGCAAGATTCTGTCTGTAAGTGAGGAACAATAAAGAAAGAGGAACTGATTCTGTAGTACGGATTATGACTTCCAGGAAGGTGTTCTGCCACCCACTGAGCTGTTAAAATGTAGGTCCCCCTGAGTTCATTCTGATTTTTTTTGCATTTCAATCACTTCTTCCTGAAGCATTTCAGAATGTTTGCTATGTCTACTCTTGCATTCTAGAAAAGCCCTTTTGAACATTAAATATGGTTTAGCTCTCCAGCAGGGCAAGGATTGGCTGTCACTGTATCGGGTAATTGGTACTGGTTATCCAATAGTACAAACAGAACACTCTGGCATGAACTTTAACAAGCAGAGAGGGCTGGCATTTATAAACCATAATTATTTTTAATGAAACAAAAAAACCCCAAGAAAACAAGAAAATTCACCAGCAGAAGCATCCAGGATGCATTTTCAGTAATGGGCATTTTGACCTTTTCTAAAATTCAGGCAATCTCTTGTTCATTTTATCCTCTTGGAACAGAACAGAAAACAACAGACATCTTCCTGCCAGACAGACTCAAATTCTGGGGAGAATAATTCTATTATAAACATACAAAATATATCTTCCATTGTATACTATTTTATTGTGGCATACTATCATTGTGATGTGGTGGTACAGGTGTTGAACTAGGAGTGGATAGACCAGGGGTAGGCAACCTTGGCTCTTTTAGGACTCATGGACTTCAACTCCCAAAATTTCTGAGCTCAGCTTGGAAACCTCTCCCTTCCCATCAGCACGGTTAGCTCAGGAATTCTGGGAGTTGAAGTCCACGAGTCATAAAAGAGCCAAGGTTGCCTACCCCTGGGATAGACCAAAGTGCAGGTCCTCCTTCAGCCATGGAAAGTCCCTGAAAAACTTGGCTTTAGTCACACATAACTGGGTTGTAGTTGTAAGAATAAAAAGATGGAACCTTTCCCCTGCTTCTCCCTCTCCCAACATATCTACAAAGCTTCCATGAGGAATAGTCTAGTCTTCTACTGGATAAAGTCACTTGGATCTCTTCTAGGCTCTGACTGGGCAGGTTCTGTTGAGTTAGTCTTTTCCTGTTGCCTGGAAAGAGTCTTACAGAAGTGGGCAGGATCTTCACAAGTGTTAGTCTCTCCACTGTCAAAGTTCTGACTGATGAGCCCAATGAAGTAAGCACAGCTGAGGCATTCCAATCTCTAATGCAAAACTTTATTGAGTACAATGTATTGGCACTGATGAATAGAAAAGCAGCTCTGGCTAAAATGGCGCCAGAACAGTAAATTAAAAGGGTAGAACCTCCCTTCCCCCCTAATAGTGCAGGTCACATTCCCCAATTAAGTGTCAGACATTTGTTATGAGAAAATCTTCAGTTCCCAGCCAACGGCTCTCCGATGACCTTGATTTTTACGAGGGACCGCTCACACCTGCGATGAGCATTCCAGTCCTCCCATCTCCCCCCTGGGTCTGTTGGCAAGCTAAGACACAACAATGGCTGAAGCAGAAT